CTGTTGGGGAACGCAGCAGAAATTAAAAAAATTCTACGCATCACCAAGATCAATATATGGAGTATTCTAGCAACGAGGGGAATAGGAGTGCATCTACATACCCTTGTAGATCGCGAGCGGAAGCGTTCAAGTGAACGGGGATGATGGAGTAGTACTCGCCGTGATCCAAATCACCGATGACCAAGTGTCGAACGGACAGCACCTCCGCGTTCAACACATGTACGGTTGGGAAGACGTATCCTCCTTCTTGATCCAGAAAGGGGGAAGGAGAGGTTGATGAAGATCCAGCAGCACGACGGCGTGGTGGTGGATGCAGCAGGATCCCGGCAGGGCTTCGCCAAGCACAAGCGGGGAGGAGAGGTGTTACGGAGGGAGAGGGAGGTGCCAAGAGCAAGGTGCGGCTGCCCTCCCTCCCTTCCACTATATATAGGGGCTAGGGGGGGCGCATGCCCCCTAGGAGATCCCATCTAAAAGGGGGGGCGGCCCCTGGGGGCAACGGCCCCCTTAGGGTTTCCAACCAGGGGGGCGCATGCCCCCTCGGGGGGCAACGGCCCCTAGGGTTTCCAACCCTAGGCGCCTTGGGCCCTTGGGTGGGGCGCACCAACCCATCAGGGGCTGGTTCCCACGCCACTTCAGCCCATGGGGCCCTCCGGGATAGGTGGCCCCATCCGGTGGACCCCCGGGACCCTTCCGGTGGTCCCGGTACAATACCGGTAACCCCCGAAACCTTCCCGCTGGCCGAAACTGGACTTCCTATATATAAATCTTTACCTCCGGACCATTCCGGAACTCCTCGTGATGTCCGGGATCTCATCCGGGACTCCGAACAACTTTCGGGTTACTGCATAATAATATCTCTACAACCCTAGCGTCACCGAACCTTAAGTGTGTAGACCCTACGGGTTCGGGAGACACGCAGACATGACCGAGACGCCTCTCCGGTCAATAACCAACAGCGGGATCTGGATACCCATGTTGGCTCCCACATGCTCCTCGATGATCTCATCGGATGAACCACGATGTCGAGGACTTAATCAATCCTGTATTCAATTCCCTTTGTCAATCGGTACGTTACTTGCCCGAGACTCGATCGTCGGTATCCCAATACCTTGTTCAATCTCGTTACCGGAAAGTCACTTTACTTGTACCGTAATGCATTACCCCGTGACCAACCCCTTGGTCACATTGAGCTCATTATGATGATGCATTACCGAGTGGGCCCAGAGATACCTCTCCGTCATACGGAGTGACAAATCCCAGTCTCGATTCATGCCAACCCAACAGACACTTTCGGAGATACCCGTAGTGCACCTTTATAGCCACCCAGTTATGTTGTGACGTTTGATACACCCAAAGCACTCCTACGGTATCCGGGAGTTGCACAATCTCATGGTCTAAGGAAATGATACTTGACATTAGAAAAGCTCTGACAAAACGAACTTACACGATCTTTGTGCTATGCTTAGGTTTGGGTCTTGTCCATCACATCATTCTCCTAATGATGTGATCCCATTATCAATGACATCCCCATGTCCATAGCCAGGAAACCATGACTATCTGTTGATCAATGAGCTAGTCAACTAGAGGCTCACTAGGGACACATTGTGGTCTACGTATTCACACATGTATTACGATTTCCGGATAATACAATTATAGCATGAATAATAGACAATTATCATGAACAAGGAAATATAATAATTATTTTATTATTGCCTCTAGGGCATATTTCCAACAGGGCGTTGTGGCTTACCACTGCGGGCTTATTCATGAGAATTAGAGTTTTGCACCCATGGCACCAATTGTGATGCCATGGATGCATTTTGCGTAAATCCAATATAAAAAGGGAATACAACACGCATTGTACGCTTAGGCATTCAAGTTCACTAGGTAATTAGTACTCTTCATAACAACTAGTAACACTTCAAGTTTCTTTGAGTTAACAAACCAACATCAAAATATGACGTGCATCTTAACTAAGTAACTAAGAGTTCTTCGGCTAGGAGATATTTGACTGGACCTTATTTCTAAATAAGATCTACAACAACCATCATCTGGAAGTTGTTGTTCCTTACCGTGATGACCACTGTTGTGTCAACCATTAGTCGTTATCTCTTTCCCTTCAGGAATTCCCGCTAGCCGGCCTCATAGAACGATATGCGGCCGTCTATATCCGTCTTGTATCGAACGCTGGTGACATGACCTACTGCTCCAAGGCTTACTCTGTCCATGCCGACAGCATGGATGTCATCGGCACAAATAATCTTCATAGGTAATTTCTATGATCCCCGCGATTAAAAACAAAATAGAGCACGCAATGTTAGACATCTTGCCATATAGTGTTATGAACGGAAAAAGAAAAGAAAAGACATCCCATGATGTGTTTCACGATGTTGGTCTTGATAAAGCAATGCACAAATGGCCTCCCCAAGTGGTGCACACTTGATGGTACGATCACGATGAGTTTGGCCTTCTCATCCTCATTGAGCTCTTTCATTCTTTGAGAGAAAATTGCATAATTGTATGGATCATCATCGCCATCATCTCCGCTACCCTCATCATTTTCCTCATCCTCATCCTCATGCTCCTGACTGCTATCGTCATCCTCGCTAGCATCATCATCATCTTGGCTCTCATCATCATCATCATACTGGGAATCCTAGCATCATCCTCGTCAAGCTCATCATCTTGGTCGGAGAAATACTTAATCCTTAACTTGTTGACCACTTTCTTCAAGTAAAAGCCTATGTACTCTCCCCCGATGAGCTTATTATTTGAAATGTACTTGTTCCATCCATCGCCTCCTATGATGGTTTTATCCTTTTGTTTACAAATGTCAATTTTGTACCATTGCGCTTGACCATCCAAAAAGTTGAAACTGTCACCAATTAAATTATTGAATTGGACCTTACATTGCATGAGATACACTATGTGATAATTAAGAATAATGTAGTTAATAATTAATGGTATGCACAGTACAGCAAGTGGTTAGAATTAAATGATGAACATTGTAACAACAGACTTTTTGAATCCATCCCTCAAGAAGAGCCCGAATTCTACAGCATGGGATAAACTATCCATATAGGGATTGTCAAAAAAAGTGAAAGAAAACATTTCGCTGCTTTTCTCTCCTCATTTCTAGCTGTTTTCTCCGACAACACGTAGGCAACCACCGCGGCGACAGAACGAGACCAAAACTTCCACACGTAATTAATTAATGAGTCAGTCAAACGCACTGTTTAATTTGTGGATGAATGGTAATTAGCTAAGCTGCTGTGGAGTAGCAAGATGCATGTACTCACCTTGCCAGCTAGCTGAATATATTCATTGCTGGCGATGGTAATCTATCTGTATGTAGTGCTAATAAGAAAGCTTGAAGCTAGGGCGTGCACGCCGTCGTGGTTGTCGATGTGGATCAGTTGGGCATGTGTTTTTCTTTCCATTTTCGCCCGCAAATCTGTACGTCTTGTACTAGGGGAAATACACTTTGGTTCCTAATTGTATATGCACCTTATATAGGGATTTTTTTAATATTTAAATAAAAAGTCAAAATAGGTAAGAACTATTTTGACAAAAAACTTGACTTACTTTTGCACTAGTATATAAATTTTCATGAAAAACAAAGTTGACTTCACAGCAAAAAAGACAAAATTGATTTGCTGTTATAGGTCATTATTAATATTATTTTGGCCAAAATTTTATCTTTTTTGAAAAGAAGTCAAAGGGAGATTTTCCTTTTGTGATTTTTTTCTCACGAGTACAATAAAAGGTCAAGTTTACGTAAAAAATAATTTTAGGAACTTTTGACCTTTTGTTGAATTACTATTTTTTTTCATATAGGGTGTAGATGTTCCCATAGACCAAAAATCTGCCTCCCTTGTACTAGCTGCTATACTAGCTTGTCCCCGGCCTGGCGTCGAAGGTACGACCTGGAGATAGAAGCAGCCAGTCTCCGACGATACATTACCAGATTTCAGCTGTTCGATCTCTCGATTTTCTTTGTCAAAACACGAACCTTGTCAAACATCTTTCCGCATGTTGTTTCTGTGGGGTGGACGTACTCACTGTTGCGTAGGTGCTGGATCGATTGGGCGAAGATCGATCGGTCGGGGTCTCGGGTCAAATGGACGTGCCTAGTTTTGAACTTTCCAAGGCGAACGGGAAACATCTTTCTGCGGCTCGTTTCTTCAGGGCTCAGAACAGCGTCCTTGCAGCCACAGAGATACTCTTGGGCCGTCGAACGGGCTCAGATATGACTATTTCTGAACCACGGTCAATTAAAAATAATTATCCTAATTAACATAGTTCAATCAAAAGGGGATGTAGCTCAATTGGTAGAGCGCTAATAAATGCGGAATAGAGGCACGGGGTTCGATTCCTCGCATCTCCAATCCAAATATTTTGTTTCCGTCGTCGTGGTATTCTTTTTCGGCCCTGCGCGATTGAATGTCACTTCCATGTTTTGCAATTGGGCTTGAAGGTTGGTCAAATCCATATATAGGAACAGCCTGTTATTGGGCTGGAGGCCCCCCCTCCCTCTCTTTTTTTCTGAGCCCAGCAATAAACATGCTGACGGACCAGCACAGTTCGAAGGGACTAACTTAATGAACCCAGAGGAAGATCATGCCAATTGTAGACGCAAATTTATGTGAAACTGAAATTAGTTTGCAACATAGAAAAGCATATATAGTAGGCCATGGTGGATATGCCTCCTTGGAATTCCTGAAGAAGACGCCATAGAAAGATCAGGCCATCCACATGTGATCGGGCGGCCATTGACGTGTGAGTTTGTCCATCGATGCTTGGCCAATGCGTTCCTGTATTTGAGGAAGTTCAGTGGTTACTGCTGCTATGTTAATTTGAATGAACCAGGGAAAGATCCCTGATTTTCCAAGTAAAAAGAACATTCGCGAATGTATGACTAGTTTCTAACTTTTTAGCTTTTCCCTGACACTGCAATTTCTGTGCTCAACACAGAAATGGCACCGCCGGCCGTCCGGTTCTCATCGCTCGTGCACCAGATGTTCCCCGTCGCCGAGCTCCACCTCCACCTCGCCGCCGCTGCCACCGGCATCGCCGAACAGCAACTCGATCTCCTCGAGCGTCTTTCCGCTCGTCTCGGGCACGAACCAGTGCACGAACGCCACGGACAGCGCCGAGACGGCCGCGAACGCCGTGAACGCGCCGGCCACGGACACGGCGCGGCAGATGGACAGGAAGGACATGGCCACGGCGCCGCTGGTCAGCCGGTTCACCGCCAGGCCGAGGCCCACCGCCTGCGCGCGCAGCCTCAGCGGGTAGATCTCCGAGCTCAGCACCATGTTGATGGGCCCGATGCCCACCGAGAAGAAGGCCACGAAACCGCACACCGTCAAGATGGCCATCGCGATCGCCGCGCCGCCTGGCAGCGCGCCGCGCGACAGCAGGGAGAGCGTCGCGGCGAGCACGGCAAGGCAGGCGGTGATGCCGACCGTGCTGATGAGGAGTAGGGGCTTCCTGCCGACGCGGTCTACCAGAAGTATGGCGATCACGATGAAGATCGTCTTGGAGAGCCCCACCGCGACGGTGGCGGCCAGGAGGTGGCCCTCCGTGGCGATGCCGGCGTCCCGGAATATGGTCGGGCTGTAATACACCAGTGCGTCGATGCCTGTGGCCTGCTGGAAGAACTGGACGCCCAGCCCGGCGAGCATCATCCGGCGGACGACCGGCGACGGCCTCATAATTTCTCTCCAAACCGCTTTGCCGGCGCTCGTCACGCGCGCCGACTCCTCGATCTCGGCGAGACTCTCCTGCGCCTCGCCCTCGGTCTCCGTGACCGTGAGGAGCACGGCACGCGCCTCGCCGGTGCGGCCCTGCATGACGAGCCACCGCGGGGACTCCGGGATCACCGTGAGCACGTAGGCGACGGAGATGGACGGGAGGATGCCGGCGGCGAGCATGACGCGCCAGTTGACGTGGTCGGGGAGGCCCGCGAAGGCGAGGTTCGAGACGTAGCCGAGGAGGATGCCGAAGCTTATGAATATCTCCGGGAGGGAGGCGAGCGAGCCCCGCAGAGCCGCCGGGGAGATCTCCGAGATGTACACCGGCGCGACCATGAGGCCGAACCCGATGCCGATGCCGGCCAGCAGCCTCCCGGCCATGAGCGCGGCGAAGGACGGCGCGAGAGCCATCACGGCCGCGCCGGCCTGGAAGATGGCGGCCGCGAGCCCGATGGTCCGCTTCCGGCCTATGGCGTCGGACGTCCTGCCGGCGGCGAGGCTGCCGAGGAGCGAGATGAAGCTGAGGCAGCCGACGAGCACCTCCTGCTGCACCTCGTCGATGTGGAGGTCCTTCTGGATGAAGATGATGCAGCCGCTCATCACGCCGACATCTGCAGAGACACACGGCAACAAAGCGAAAGCTTTGACAAATCTGCATCAAGAAACGCCATTGAGGGAGGCAGAGCTCCGCTGCTCACCGTACCGTAGCCGAGGAGGACGTGGTTGAGGGAGGCGAAGACGGAGCAGAGGAACACGTGTCTCCTCGCGCCGCCGCGAACACGGACCCCGCCGCCGACGCCGTCCTCCTTCTCCACCTCCGGGTCCGGCGGGAGCACGTCGTCCATGCGCACGTACCTGCTCTTCCTCCCCAAGAACCCGGCCATGCCGCCGCCGTTGGCCGCCGTGCCGGCGCCACGAAGCTCCATGGATGCTCTTCCAAGATTCAGCGTGGACTTTGAGTGGCAAAATCGCCGGCCATGGATCTGAGGGAGGAGGGAGACCAAGAGGAGGAGAAACCGAGGAATTTCTTAATCAAATCGTGCTACTTGTTTAACTGCAAGTTGGAAAAGGTAGCGTTTTTAACTTTTTACTTCCCCCGTCTCATAGTACAAGACAAAAATCTCAAGAAAGGATCGTAATGTTTTAACTTTTTATATTATGGGATGGAAGGAGTATTATATATATGATTCTGCGGTGCTTTCTTTTAAAAAAAAAACTAGACCACGTAGCGACAAGTACAAGTATTAGAGCAAGTCAAAGGCGTCATTGCATCACCCACACTGAGCCAGACAGAATTTGTTGTAGTAGACGGTCACGCCATCGTGAATCTTCTCAAAGGACTCGATGACGCCAGGAAACAGGGATCTTCACAAATTTTCGGATGTGCTTGTTGTGTCACTTAGAATAGGACTCATCACTTCACTGGCCAGGAGTTGGTATGAACTTGTGATCAGCTCGCTAATTTTCAGCGTCATGCATGTTGAATATTTATTGCTCGCTGCACATTGATGAACTCTCAGGCTGTCAACCAATTAAGGCCCTGTTTGATTCATAAGTTTTATGATTTTTTTTAGTCCCAAGTTATAAGTCTTAAGTTCCGAATAAATCCCTATCTGTTTGGTTCCTGAGACTTAACATGGATAAAAGACCATATTACAACTATAAGTTTATATAAGTCCCTCCTTGAAAGTCTTATTTCATAAGTTTCAAATGCCCACTTTAAATCCCTATAAGTCTCTTTTTTTTGGTTTAGATGGGACTTGTAGGGACTTTTTTAAGTCCCTAAACCAATAAGTCCCTGAAAACAAACACCCTCTAACTCGCAGGTGTTAATCAGCAGGTGATACACGACCTGCAGGTGTTAATCAAAACTAAGACGTCATCGCAAAATCAAAGAAAAACCAAGCGGTCAACAAGGAATTTGGTTCAGCTCGGGTATTCAGCAGTGAACTTTTTGGTTTTTGATGGGGTATTCAGCAGTGAACTGAAAACTACAGTTAGTTTGTCAGGACCCTGCATTCCCTGCATCAAGCCTGAACTTCATCGACAATGACGAAACCGAATAATTCGACAGTTGGACTGAAGACGATGTGAATCGGTACGAGGCTTGGATGGACGTTGAGGATTCTCTCGCGCAAGTCATATATCAACAGCTGTCATCACCCCAGGAGGCCCCCTGTTCCTCGTCACGCAGTTGCGCCATCTCCAAGACTGCTACAGTCCAGCTCACCAACGACTTGCCGTCAATATTCTTGCTTGCGTGCGCTATAAGAATATCTACAGCCGGATGCAGCAAATCTGACCCCCTAAACATTCGCGGACACATCCCTAAACAGTGATCAGTCAACCCTCAATGCTTGCGTGGCTGTGTCCACAACTGATACCTCATATCAGGTCCCCCAAAACCATGCCATCCATGCAACGTGAGAGAGAGGATACCTAGATAATCATAGGAACAAATAGACATATATAGATCAACATACGGGCATAGATTCACAATTTGTCAGACTAAACAAATACTCCCTCCGTCCGAAAAAACTTGTCCCAAACTTGTCTTTCAAATGAATCTGTCTAGCACTAACTTGGGGCTAGATACATCCATTTAAGGGACAAGCTTTTTCGAACGGAGAGAATAGTTCGCTGACACCGAAAGCCACCCCGAGGCGAGAGAACCAGCGGCGGCGACGGTTAGAGAAACCCAAGTAGCATGTTGTTTTCGTGTGAGGCAGCTGTTCGGTATCAATCTTACTCCTACATAGTTTTTGTTTTGCGGGGTTACTCTTATACATAGTTTGAAGCAGTAGGATACACATCCGGGTCAAATGGGCAGTAGGATACACATGCGGGGTTACTCTTATACATAGTTTTTGTTTTGTAACGCACGGAACGGAGGATCTATGCTGAAATGAAACTCACGTTGCTCAGCTTTTACTTCTTTTTTTCTCACACAGGAGCAAATCCACCCGGTCAGCTCCCTGCGTGCGAACGAGTTTTGAACCGCCCAATCCATAAGGACGATAGCGTCTATGACCTGCGGCCTGTTGTCGATAAAACCTAACAATTGAAAGTTCAAAAGAAACAAAATCACGTCCTTATGGGCTGCAGCCCATGGATGTTGTAAAGCCCATGCTTATGATATACTATTGGGTCACCTAAAAAAATACTATTGGGCCCATGTTTGATTCTTGTCCTAAACTTCGGATTAATTTTATTAATTGGTAGAGGTATTAATAGTATTTCCACATAAATGGGGATGTAGCTCAATTGGTAGAGCGCTAATCAATGCGGAATAGAGGCACGGGGTTCGATTCACATCTCCACTTAATGTTCTATTTTATTTTTCTGCCGATGGACTTCTTCCTTTTTCCTATAAAATAAATAAAATAAATTGATCGGGAAAAAAAGTGCTGCCTCTTGGGTTTTAACTGGGCTGCAATGTGAACCCTAATCCAGATTGGAATAGTATGTGATTGGGTTAGGGCAAAAAAATTACAAATTTGCAATAAACATGTTGACGAATAGTATAAAAATCAGACAATACATGTTGTATGGAATCCGAACAGCTCACACATCACTTCATCACTGATGGAGAACATGTCAAGTGCTACATCACATAGAACAATAAATTTAGAAGCTTTACTGGGAAATCTAGAACGTTAAAATTTGTTGAGAGCCGATATATGTGCAAACAAAACCTTCTACTTCAAAAAATCAGCACATACTTCAACTAGGGAGGTTCATACATGAAGTTTCATGCAGATTTGTAACATGAGATGGACAACACGTTGATATGATAAAATAGTTCTATAGATAGTTGTTCTCAAACACTAATTATCACTAGTAGAAAACGGAGGTTTAAAACCGGTTCGTAAGGGCCTTTAGTGCCGGTTCCATAACCGGCACTAATTGGTGGGCACTAAACCCCCCCCCCCCCTTTAGTACCGGTTCGGCACGAACCGGCGCTAAAGTGCCACCATGTGGCGTGAGTTCGCGCCCTGGTATGGGGGACCTTTAGTACCGGTTGGTGTGACCACACACCAACCGGTACTAAAGATTTTTTTGATTTTTTTTTAATTTTGGATTTTATTTTAATTTTAATTTTTCTGAATTATTTGGTGATTTAGTCTCTAATCACCTCTCTTAACTGCTTAAGTGTGGATCACTCATTCCGAGTCATCTAACTTCCCGACCAGTCACCCATCCCTCTCACTACTCCAGCCCGAGCACGCTTAACTTTCGGGTTCTATTCTCCTTCGTTTCCAAGTCTGCACTTGTTGTTTTCCTGACAATAATAAGATGCCAATCCTATTAATCCTCAGGAGTTTAGCTTGAGCATGAAGTCACACATTTCACTGTTTGAGTTTGAAACTATTATTCTAAAAAAACAGTAATTATTTAGTAACACCAATATTTCTTGAATAAGTTTGACCACAATTTGACCAGATTTGACCAAAATTCAAAAAATTGAAATAATTATTTAGTAACACTAATATTCTTGAATAATTATGTAGTAACATTAATACTTCTTGAATAAGTAGTTTGACCAGATTTAACAATTTTTTTAAAAAAACTGAAATTTGACCATATCTTTTTTTCCTTTTGGAATTTGAGGATTCTAAAAAATTGCAAACAGGCCGTAGGCAGTCTCTATCGGATGCGGATTTTCGTGCTGAATTTTTTGATATATTATACATTTTTTTCCGACATCGTATGCAAAAGTTATAGCCGTTTTACATTTCCCCTACACTTTTTGCAAAACATGTCCAAATTTAAGGTTTCAAATTTTCCTAACTAGTAGATGTAGTAATATAACTACCTCTCGAAGGATTTTATTTTTTGAAGTTTTTATCATTTTCTTTTGATTTTTTCAGAACTGAA